TTTTTTTTTTTTTTTTTTTTTTTTTTTTTTTTTTTTTTTTTTTTTTTTTTTTTTTTTTTTTTTTTTTTTTTTATTTTATTTTTTTTTTTTTTTTTTCCCCCCCCCCCCCCCCCCCCTTCTTCTTCCCTGTTTTGCTTACTTCCTTCCACAATTGGCCATGCATTACCAGCTGATCGGATGTCGAATCAATTCTTTTATTTGATCTCATTATGACTATTTTATTTTGTTTTTCTATGTTTCACTTACTGCTTCCCCCCATCTTCCTTTGGATGAGTACTCTGTGTCGAGGTCGAGCGTTGGTCGAGATGAAAAGTTACGTCTACTACCTTGAGAGTCGAGTATTGTCACGGCTGCCTGAATAGAGTGCTCGAGTGGAGTAGGACTACGTTTATGGCAGCAGAGATATTCGCATAAGCAAGGATTGCCAGGTCTATCAGCCAGATTTGTTTTGTATTTCTCGAATACGTCTCAGTTGCCTGGCACATCCATTGCCCCCCTTTTACTTTGAGCGGGTGTCCTACCTCTCTGCCTGTGCTTATGTTCCCTCGGATTTTCCTTTCTCTCCCTTTTCTTCTTCTTTCTTTTTCTCCTGTTTTATCTTACTGTTTTTTATTTCTGTTGTTTTTTTTATCCTCTTACCCACTTTATCTCCTCTGGAAGGATGAACGGACGGCATCGTGTGAAGAAGCAAAAAGAACGTACGTACGGGTAGACGCAGACTACGTCAGAATGTGTTTGTTTCTATTACGGATTTGATTTGATTCATTGATGGTTTTTCTAAAGAGTGTTTATGAATATTCTCCATGTTCTATCTGTAGAGGTCATCTTGAAGGTCACCGAGGGTGTGGTTAAGCTGCTAATGCAGACAGGTACAGGTACCGCCGTACCCGTCGACTGCAAGCCAATGACAAGATCAGGTTAGACGGCGCTAACTACGGTAGGGAGAAGAATGGGACGGGATAAACCTTAGAAAAGAAAAAAATTAAATAGGAAGAATTAAGAAAAAAGAAAAGAAATTAAGGATCTGTCACCGTCACTGTCAGAATCCAAGAACCCAGATCCGGAAACGGTAAGAACCAGAACTAAAACCAGAACCAGCCCGATAAACTACCTAGAAACTTACATACGTAGGTATATGCATACCTACGTACATGACTACGTAGAAACATACATAGAATCAACAAAGAAACGTCTATGAAAAAAAGCCCAGGTAACCCAGAAGGAAACTTCAGGACCCATCGCAACATCCTGAGTGGCGGGATTTTCTCCGACATGTTGCGCTGCTTTGCTTCCAGGGACTTTGCTAGTTGCTTCTGTGCCGCTGTCAATGTCGCAGTGGGGGGATGCCGTGGGATGGAGGGACAGGGCGCCAGAGGTTTGGTTTTCTTCCTCGGTAGTTTCACCCCCCTCGCTTGCGGTTGGTTGGGTTTGATTGATTGAACCATACCTAGTAGGTTAGTTAGGTAGTTGCATCTTGCATCAACGAGAGGGATTAAATTAGCAGCGCAGCGGCAGCAACAGCAACAGCGGCATGTCTGTCGACGTGTTCGCTCGCTCTCCGAGGACTGGCTGCTACCTAGCTTCCTAGGTTGCTGGTAGCCTTAGGCGGCCAGGCCAATGGAGTAAAAAGACGCCGCCCGCCGGGCGAGAGAAAGGAAGTTCGGGTCAGACCGACTTCCATCCTTATTCTGGGTCTAGGAAAATGTTATTTTGTTATTTCGTTGGGGGTTTTTTTGGAGGGAAGGAGAAGTCAAAGAAAGAAAAAAAGAAAAAGAAAAATACATGAAATTCAATTCATTAAACGAGACGAGCAGTACGGAGTAAAAAAAGAAGAAAGAAAGAAACGTAAAAAAAAGCAAAACTTCGATCTTAGGCCAAATGACGACAAGATCGCCATTTTGTCAAGTTGGTCGTCGACCAGCAGCAGTTGTAGTTAGTCTACTTCCAGCCACTTACAGACAGTTGGTTCATCTCCTTTTTATTTTTTATTTTTTTTCTAATTTTTTTCTTTGCTTCCCTGCGGTCTTTGTTGTCATCCTGATACGGCTACCGACTGGTTGTTGCAGCCTTCTCTCTCTCATTAAATTTCAAGTTGTTTTATTCCCCTCTTCTCCCCACGGAGTAATTTGACGAGGAGAAGCGGAATAAAAGTCCGACGTACTTGACGAGGGCCGATTGAGCGACCCGACACGACGGACGACGTCGAAAGGAAGATGGAACTAAGAGGAGATCGACGAATCCATTCGATGATCGACCGGACATACATTAGGCCCGCTTATGTCAGTGGCAGCTCCCGTGACTCCGGTCGCGTGCTGACTAAGATCCGTTCGGCACGTTCCGATTCCTTCGTTTTGATATCGCTTGGTAGTTGTTACTCCGGAAGTACTCCCTCGCTCTTTCTTTCTGTCTCTCTCATCAATCTCTCTTTCCATCTTCAATTCCATTCCGTTATTTCTCTAGCTACGGGATCAATGAGATGAAGGAGATGATCATCGTTTCAGAAACGGAGATGAGGTTCAAGAAACAAAATGACCCTGTCCATTCATCCTCTAATCCACCCGCATCACTTCCATGTTCACGGGCCCGACACCCACCCCTACCCATTTCATCATCCCCGACAGTATCCAGCATGGGTTGGAAAGAGATCCGCCCCAATCAGACGTGCAGATGGCCATCCTCTTCGCACCATGGATTATTCTCTTGTCTATCCCTAGCGCGGCTAGAAGCACTTCATGCGTCGCGCGCTTTTCAGAATTGCGGATACCAACAAGGCCCGGAGTCGGGCGGGTCCAGCCAGTCTTCATGCCCTCGTGTACGGTATCGTATGGTAGAATGAGCTCACCCACCATGCACGTCGTACAAGGGAGTTCAATGATGGGGTGTGGAGGCAACGAGAGAGCCTTGCAGTCCACAGGAGGGTCCGCTTGACTGATGGGAGGGCAGGGCCAACGAGGGCGCGGCGTTGCTGTTGGAAGATAGCCATCCTCGAATGAATTGTGCAACCGTTGCATCCAATCTGCGTCCTTCTCCCACCGCTTCCGCTTCAGCCTGCCTCCCCCCTCCCCCCACTTCCCTCCTTCCTTCTTTCTTTCTCTCTCCTTTTGGACTAGCCGGTGGCCAGGGTTCAAGCCATGACGATGATCTTTTTCTTCCCTTGAAACCTTCATCCCTCTAACTAGGTACAGTTGGGATGCATGCGCATTCGGGGGCCCGAGTCATCCGCATGGAATGATTAGGCAGCCTCAAAAGCTGAAGGCGTTGCGTCAAATGATCTGGTTGACTGGAGAGAGAGAGAGAGACGGGAAAATGAAGCCCCAGGGTCATGGGCCCAGGACGACAGTGTGAATCCTTGGTCATAGAGAGCGGTCCGACCGCAACGCTTTCCTGGCTAGTTGTGATCTTCAGATCGTCCTGGACGGGTTTTTCCCTTTTTTTTTTTTTTTTCTCTTCTCTTCGTCACTAATTTCGTTGGCAATCCATGGCGAAGGGGCCTCGCTAAGATCTTTTTCTCATTCTCACACGCATCTTCTCTCTCTTTCCCTCGGTCCCCATGCAATCCTGGTCTGGTCTGGTCTGGTCTGGTCTGGTCCGGTCTTTCCAACTTCCTTCAACCCTCCAGGCTAACATCCAACTTTTTAATTTGTTTTCCGGTTCTTTGTTTATGCCCATGACTCCCGCGTCCCTTTGTTCTCATCCTAGCATTTCATGCATTAGACCTGTCTGTTTCACGAAACGGTCTCCGGATGTTGTGTTGCGCCAAACAAACTTCTGACGATTCTCGACACGCGACGGGGGTTGAGTGTAAACGCCCAGTTCTTGATGTCTTTGTATGGATGGGGCACCGCTTGGGCCCCGTTAGTCATGTCTCATGGCTGCTTTTAGTTTTTCTTTTCTGTTTTTAATTATCCCGCATGTGCATGGTGGATTCTCTCTTTTCGCCTTGCCTCCTTCATCTCCCAATCTCCGTGAACTCCGGCTCCACTTTCTTTTTCCGATTTTTTCAAACCCAATTATTCGGTGATGGCAAAAGATTGGCGCTGACTGGAAAGACGAACGGGAAACACTGACAGGGTCACACAGAGGTGGTGACTCCAGCTGCCTAGTCAGTCCACTCCGCCGTTCACCGAATGAGAAAAAAGACCGAAGGAGGAAAGAGACCAAAGGAGAGGGGGGCGAAACCGTAGTCGCAATCGAAAAAAAAAAGGAAAAAGAATTTCTCTTAAAAAAAGGGTGTTGATCATTCTTTTTTTTCTTTCCCCTTCCCCAAAAGTTACTCCATCCACTCCCTATGTCTCCTTTTGTCGCCGCCTCTTCCTTCCTCCGGGACTTCCCCTGGAGAAAAGATCAATTGGGATCAGATCCCTCTTTTTCAATTGTCCCCATCCTTATCGACCCTAGACACGCGCAGCGCCATCTTACGATCGAGATCCTCCTGCTCCTCCTTGGTCGGCAGCATGCCCATGGCACCCTCCACTTGAGGCGAAGTCCAAAGCCCGATCGAAGCCCAGGCCATGACGCCGATTCCAAACAGAGCCCTTGTCTTGGGGGAAAGCGAACGGTACGAGCTGGATTTTGTAGCGCACGAGGTCAGTTGAAATTCGGTCCACAACTGTTGGAACACTCAACACTCTACTCCGTCGAGTCGTAGCAGTAGTAGGAGTAGTAGACTTACCTCCAAAACGTCATGACTCTTTTTTTGAAGAAATGATAATCAATAAAATAAAATGGTCAATTATAAAGTAGGGAGTACCTCGCAACTTAAATCGGGGATCGGTGCAATTCGTATTGAAGCTGAGGTCCAGTCCCGGTCAGGAGTACAACCTGCGAAGGAAGTTGGCCGTTGCGGTGGCGCTAGGCGGGATCGGGCTTAGTGCGCTAGAGAGATTGTGGATGCCTTAGGCTGTCAGGTGTTGACGGGTCTTGTTGTCTTCAACTTCACAATAACTATATCTAGGAGAGATATTTTTTTTTTCAACACTGATACAATTGAACAGTATGTGATAACTATATTCTACACTTGATCATTGAGCGGAGACTATCTCACTCAATTGCCATTGGCATGCTAGATTCCAAATGCTAGATACGATAGTTGCCAACACCAAACCCGACATCAATCAATCAATTACATACTTACTTACTCAGGGAATTCAGCCAGGAGTAAGTCATCTTTACTTCTTTTCTTGCCTCTTATTCCCTCTGGTTCCACTCTTATTACTGACAATGATAATGAAACCAGGAACCAAGCATACCCAACACATTGCAATGAAATCAACGGACAAACAAACACAAACACAAGACAACTCTCCTTGAGCTTGTAACTGCCTGCCTGCCCACCCTCTGAACCACTCCAACTATCTATCTATCTACCTACCTAGGTTAAGAAAATTACTAAAATATCTAACAATCATACAGAAAACTCCATCTCTAGACTATAGATATCCATTGTATCGAATCGAATCGAGAATTCCAAAGGAATCGCGAATGAAAGGACTGTCCATACACCTCATCCACACCATCAACCTCATGCCTAGTCGACTCGTGCTCGTGTTCGAGTATTATAAAAAGGCAGAAGCTGTGCCTATGCTACGTACAAGACCAGGCAAGATAAGGTAGGATATCTATGAAAGGTAGGCAGGTTGAAGTATGATGTTCTCGGTTTGATGACGCAGAAAGCAAGAAGGCTTGAATGGTACACAGTGATATCCACAAGATCCGTAACTATAGAGAACACATTGTTCCAGGATCTGAGGACCTAGGGTGTCAGGGAAAGCCCTCATACTGTAATCGGGATGCCTACAGGTCGATCTATGTTTGCTTGGGCGTTGGTAATGTCAATAAGGTCTCATCGGATGGGCTTACGTTGGGTTCTTCCTGATTGTTAGAGCTACATCTCATACAGTTGAATTTACTGCTGGAAATTCCAGTTCAATCCAAGGTCTTCAATTCAATGACTTGATATTAGTAAACAGATCATATCAATCCAGTTCGTCGCCTTAGAACTAATAAGAGAAAAAAGAATATTCTATGCCTTGCTTGCGCCAAACATAAACATGGAGCAGCCCAACTTCAGAAAAGAAGAGAGAAAAAAACGAAAAAGCCGTCCGATTCAGAGCATATCACATCAAATCAAATGCACGAATCAAATAACGGAAGAGAGAAAAAAGCTCAAGCAAAGACGGAATGAATATAAAGCAAGAAAAGCTATATAAAATTGAAAAACATTAGAAAAGATGGAAATCTCGTACAAGCACAGATTAATAACTTTGTCTTTTTGGGTGATTTGCGTTCTTTAGACGTTCTTCTTCTTGCCATACGCAATGTCGATCTCGCTCTGGAAGTGGTTGACGATCTTCTTGCGCTGGAGTTTCTGGGCGGCGGTCATATATCCCTGATGAAAGTAAAGATTAGCCTCTGGTTCTTAGGGTTGGACAGGAGGAAGATGACAGGAACTTACGTTTTGCGAGGTCCACTCTTCGTCGGAGAGCACTACACCGTTGATGATCTCAATACCACGGAGTCCGGCGGCGCGGCCGGCAGTCTGCAACTGCTTGAGCACGATGCCCTTCAGCTTTTCGTTGTGCACCAGGGATTCGACGGAGTCGCCTTCGATGCCGTTCTCGTGTGCCAGCTTGAGCAGCGCAGGTTCGAGGGGCACGATAATGGCGATCGGCTTGTCCTGGTCCTGAGCGGCGTAAACGCAGATGTTGGCGACCACGGGGGAGGAGCGATAAACCGACTCGAGCTTCTCAAGCGCAATGTATTCACCGTTGAGGGTCTTGACCAGGTTCTTCTTGCGGTCAATAATCTTGAGATGGCCGTACTGGTCGAACTCGCCAATGTCACCCGTCATGAACCATCCGTCGTGGGAGAAGGCGCCCTTGGTCTCCTCCTCGTTCTGCCAGTACGCGGTGGTCACACTGCCGCCACGGATGAAGATCTCACCCTGGGGAGGGCTGTTCTTCGTCAGGTAGCCGGCGTCCGGGAAGTCGACCAGCTTCACCTCGATCGAAGCGGGTATGTCACCAAGCGCGTCGGGGTTCCAGGCCATCGGGTCGTTCAGCGCACCCATGGCGGAGGTCTCGGTCAGCCCGTAGCCGCTGATCATAGGAGCAATGGCCATGGACAGGAATTTTTGCGTTTCCTTCGAGATCGGACCGCCACCGTTCATCATAATCCGCAACCGACCACCGGTGGCGTCCTTCAACTTACGGAAGACAACGGTGTCGAGGATCGAGGCACCCACGCTGTGTCCGGGGAAACCGGTCGCCATCAGGAAGTTCTTGGCGGACATGGCTCCCCAGAACAGACCTTTCACGAGGAAGTTGGCCTTGTTCAGGTTGTTCAACACACCCTTCTTCACGGACTCCCAGACGGCGGGTACGCCGACGAGGATGGTGGGCTTAAACTCGCGGATATCGCCCTTGCAGTTGCGCATGGAACCGTCTGACAGCGTGCGAGGGTTTCCGTAACCCATGGTACCGCCCCAGAACAGACAAAGGTTCTCGAACATGAATTCCAGGATATGCGCTTGCGGAAGGTACGTCAGGAGACTGTCCGAGGGGCCGATATAGTCTCCGACGATTGCGTTGATACCGGCAGCTATTGTAATTAGTTCGAAGATCAAACAAACGGACCGAGATCAACTTACTCGCAGCGATGACGTTCTTGTGCGTCAGAGGAACACCCTTGGGCGGACCCGTCGATCCAGAGGTGTACATGATGCAGCAGAGATCTTCCGGAGAGGGCGGGACGGGGTCCACGGGGTTCTCTTCACCCAGCTTTTGAAGCTCGTCGAAGCTCACAATGTTCAGGTAGTCGTATTCCTGTTTCAGTCGGTCCAGGTTCTCCTGTTTGACCTCCTCGAACGAGTTGTAGATGACATATTTGATGGACTTGGCATCCTTGAGGACGTTGGCCACGGAGGGGATCAGGACGGGGTCGCAGAAGATGGCGGCGCTATCGGTTTGGACGAGAGAGTGTTTCAACCCATCCTCGCCCAGGGTATCATATGCGGTAACGATGGTAATCGACTGAGACGAGGCTCCGTGCGACATGAGAAGCCAATTGGCGCTAGAGATAAACACCAGTGTCAGCCGTCCACCCCCGATCGTGTACAGTATTCCTAACGGTAAACGTACCTGGTCGCACCGTAGAGATGAACCTTGTGTTCCTTCTCGAGTCCCAGCTTCCGGAGACCGGCGCCCAGCTGCAGCGCCGTCTGTTCATACTCGACGAAGCTCTTGTACGAGTATTCGCTCTTTTCAAAGTAGGTCCATTGCTTGTCGACCTCCTGCTCCTTGCCGTCAATGACCTTCTTGACCTTCTTGTTCTCGACGTGGGTCTTGATCAAGCGACGGCTTCCAACGGCCTTCGCGTTGCCGAAGACCCGCGCAGAGCGGCGGAAATTATCGTAGACGGTTGCGACGTCCTCCGAGGGCTTCAAGATCAGACCGTTCTTGGCCACGGGGAGGCGGCGGGGAATAGTCTCTCCCTCGACGCGCTCGTAGCCCGGAGCCTCCACGGTGAATGGAGGCTTCTTGGACATGCGCGGTTGAAGGTGAGCATCTCTTTTCGACATGTTGGCGGCGAGTTAGAACACGGGAATGATGTGTTGGATGTACTTGGCGAAGGCAGAGGGAGAAAATGCGATCGACTACAGCGATTGCCAATTAGCACACAGTTCTTCCCCCCGAGAGGCAAACCGACATCGGATGTGAAAGGCGAAGCACGACAAAACGGCCAAGCACGAGCAGGAACCACAGGTTCGTTGCGGAGTGGCAGAAGTCAAAACACCGAGGGCGAAGTTGGATTAACTAACCAGGTGGAGACCCAAAAAAAAAGGTCAAGAAAAAAAAAAAAAGGGAGCACAGAATGCACACCACGGGGTTACTGGCAGAGGAATGAAGGGGTGTGCGGGGGAGGAAGCGCACCAGAGGGAAAGGGACGAGAGAGGGAGGACGGGGAGAAGAAGAGCAGCGGCAGGGATGATGAAGTCAGAGAGTTTTCGTGGCTGGACTGGACTCAGGGCCACTCCACCTGCCAATGACGACGCCGAGCCGATGGGTCCAATCCCGGGACTGTTGGTCGGTGTTGGAAGTTAGACTTAATTTTACACTTCTCTACCAGCCTGCAATATTGATCGGACCTCCCTTGCGCAACAGATACTCCGGATCGAGGTATCCTTTCCCTGTCAGCCGCCCTGTCCGGGTACCTCCCCGGCGAGTCACTCCGTCGGCTCGGCAAGACGCCGTTCGCTTGCCGCGGTTCGCAAGCAAACACTGATTATTCGGTCGTGGAAGGTTCAGCATAGGGGTACATAATTCCCGGCATAAAATCCCTTTGTCCCAAATCCTAGATTGGAGAGAAAGTCCTGAGATGCAAGACGGTTGGGACTAAAAAATACCAAGCACCGCGATCCCTGTCCGATGATGTCATGCATCGACGTTCTTGTCAGCATCTTATTCCTTCCCCTGATTTCTTATTTCGTGAGAAGTCCAATCCCAGGGCGGCGTAGTTGGTACCTGAAGTTAGAACTTATTATACTCTACGATCAGGTCTCCTTTGCACAACGGTCAAAGCAGATACTCCGCGCCGAGGAATCCTTCCGGGAAGCGTCGGCTTGAAGGTTGTCATTCCATATCGCTCGGCCTTAGGAGTCCAATTAACTACCGAAAGGGTGAATTCAAAGTAGATACGCCGTATTCACCCCTGAGTGTTTGACTAGCATCTTCACGCGGTGCTGTGCCTGATCTTGATTATACAAACTTCAAATTCGCTCAAACGATCCACCGTGTCCTATCACTCCTTTATCGATCTACAACAAGCCATCGGGAAGGCGTCGGATAGCTCTATGAGCAATATCCCAGACGACCCATATTCCTAACTATGACCGGTCAGGTCCTATCTCTATCATACATACATTCGCGTTACATTACTGGTACTTCCTTGCCGTTGGTTTGAAGAACCTGGAAAATGGGGAAGACTATGAAGTTAATGCTAGCGGTGACTATAGTCGTGAGTTGTTGAGAGAACATAATCAACTAGAAGAGCATCTTTCGCGGTTTAAGGAAGGGGGCCGGTATCATACATGGCTCCAGGAAAAGCAATCGCAGACTGGATTGTCATCAACTGCGCAGCTACCCGGCCAACTCGTGGTTCGTTTCTTATGCTCCTGTCCATCTTCTTGTTGCTGACAATTTGATAGAATAAGATGGGCCAAATCTCGTGCACGCCGTCTTCGAAAATGATTTCACGGAATTGCAGCTTTTCCATCATAAGGGGCGTGCCGAAGAAGTCTAGAAAACCATGCGGAAGACCAGTCCTCGTCAGGGATCCCGAAGGAAACCTCACTATACCTGCTATTCAGGGGTTTTACCTCCTATGTGGTTCCCTGGCCGACACTTATCCATGGATCGTCAACGAAAAAGTGACTGATCCGAAGAAAAATAGCAGGATCTACCAAGGAGTCTTCACTCTGCCTGAGGGCATCCAAAAACTTCATCCCAACGTGGATTGATCGCCGAACTACCACCCCGAGTCCATTGCCACATGCGAAGGAGTCGGCAAATCCACCTTAGGACAAACCTTTAGTCGGGCAAGGGCTACAACTTGAGGCCGTGGTCGAATATGCTGCGATATGCCAACCTAGCCGAACATGTTCACTTATCCGATGATGCCTTCTTCGAAGGGACTTATACGTCTACAGAATAAAGGAAAGAGCCTCTCGCACGGTTGAGAATTCTCATCATTACCTCAAATGGTAGCCATAACTCAACGTGCGTAGTGGTCGAAGTGTCCCTGCAATTTATTGCCTTTTCATGACATGTTTCGCCCGAGGATTTCCCCCATTCATTATCTCCACAGAACTATTTCCCCTTTTGCAAAGGTACTTCACCAGGAGCTAATAACTAATGAAGGAGAGAAGGGCATAGAGGGCATAGAACACAAATCTACTAATAAGACTGATAAGCTTTTTATAAGTGCACCAGTAGAAGGAGAGATAGGAGGATATAAAGATGGACCAGTACGGAGGGGTAAACAAGGACGTTGAAGTTGTAAACCCGCTCGAAGGTCGCAAAACAATGAAAGCTCGTGGACAGATCACATCAAGAAATGTTCGTCTTCTAATGCGTTGTAACACAGAGGCCGTGCATCGCGTGGCAGTAGATCATCGATGAGGAAGTCCGCCCTCAAAAGGAAGCGGACTGAAAACATCAAGCAACACGACCCCCTGTCGGATGATGACATGCATCGATTTCCATCTGGTCAGCCTTTTGTTTTTTCTTTCTTTTTCTTTTTCTTTTTCTTTTTTTCTAAAATTTCTAATCCACTTCGAATGCTGCAGTTAACCTGATTGGACAGCTACGGGGTTCCATCGCCGAGGGCCAATCACGTCTGTTCCGTCCAACGGTTGAATCCAATCCTTTCGGATTCTTCTGGATTGCCTGTGGTGTACTTCCAGACCTACTACGGTGACTATAGACATATACTCCCATGGAGAATATCTCCCATCTCCTCGCCGCGCTTGGCCCAGAGGTCGACGATGTAGACGAGGGTGCGTCCATATGCCTACCTACCAATAAAGCCCCAATTAACCCCTCCTAGAATCCTTCCTCATCTTCTCGGAACCCATCCCCTCCGCCAACCTGGGCATGATCGATCCCCGAGCACCCTCCGTCGAGATCTCAATCCACGATCAGGACTACACCGTCCATCAATCGCCCACAGTTCTCTCTTCCGCTCGGGCCGGCGGCACCACCGGTGCAGGTATGTACACATACATCCTACCTACCTACATCCATACAATGATCCTCACTAGCCCTAAGGTATATCACAAGACAAAGTCTAACAACCCACACAGTCCTCTGGAAGATCACTCCCCTCTTCGCAGAATGGATCTCCGCCCACCAATCCAATCCCCTCTGGACGCATTCCCTGCTCTCGTCGTCCTCCACCGTCGTCGAGCTGGGCTGCGGCATCTCCGGCCTCATGGCCCTGGCCCTGGCGCCGTCTGTTCGGCACTACCTCGCCACAGACCAGGAATACGTCCGTCGTCTTCTGCGCCAGAACTTAGAGACGAATGCCTCGGTATCAGTGTCGAGAACCACCTCGTCGAATCCAAAGGGGGGCAAGGGTAAGAAGAAACAACCCACGAGAACAGAGAAATCAAAGTCGAAATCAAAATCAAGCCCCTCTTCTGCTGCTGCTCCTGCTGCTCCACCCAATATCGCATTCACCACTCTCGACTGGGAAACCGACCTCGCGACCTCCTTGAAAGATAGCCTCCAGCAAGATGAAGACGATGGCGAGTACAGCCCCTCCTCGAAGGCAGAAAGAGACGAAGTAGAAGAAGAGGATAAAGGCTTCGACCTACTCATCTCCTGCGACTGCATCTACAACGAAGCCCTCGTGGCTCCCTTTGTGCGGACCTGCGCGGACATCTGCCGTCTACGACCTGTCTACCGAGCCCAGGATAATGATAACGATAAAGGCGACGGTGATAGCTCACAGACATCCCGACTACCCACGATCTGTCTCATTGCGCAGCAGCAGCGGTCACCGGATGTCTTTGAGACGTGGTTGCGGGAGACGATGCGCTTCTTTCGGGTCTGGAGAGTGAGTGATGAAGTGGCCGGGGAGAAGCTGCGGGTGGGATCAGGGTATTTGGTGCATTTGTTGTTGTTGAGGGGAGATGCTGCGGAGGAAGGATTGTAGGTGTATATACATGTGTAGAAGTGTGTTCGGTTTGGCCATGTCTATGGAGTAGGAGTGGTCCTGCTAGATGACTATTCAATGCTTAGGATGGGATGATTCCTGATATCGGTCCAATATAACGAACCCCTGGAATTAAGTGTTATCAAGAGGATATACTGTCTTGACACATACGCGCAAACATCCATAAATAACGTTTCAAGGATTGAATTGGCACCTCAGTCCATTGCATAAATAAATATAAAGTGATAGTATAGCCACCAAGGTGGTATAGGAGAGAGACAGAGAGAGAGGCATTACACTATAATAAAGATACAATGAACCACCCATAAATGCACGATGAATGGAAGGGTATTGATGCAAAGCGGCAAACGGAGAACAAAGGCTAAAGCATGCTCATACTATGCGAGGTGGAGTTGCGTAGTGGAGGGAGGGATGCAAGTGATGTGGGTGTTTTGGTCCTCGGGGAGAGAGAAAACAACAAGGAAACGAATGCTGGATAGGCAAAGGGAGACCAATTTTTGAATACGTTGTGTTTTGTTTCTGGTTCTTGAATTGTTTATCTAGCCTCAGCGGTTTCTTTCAACACGCTGCTGCGCTCGGGTTCGTCTCGGTCTCGGTGTCGAGGCATTTCAGCCTCGTCCAAGGTAGGGCGTCGTGGCTCGGGAGAGGCTCGGGATACGATCTCAAGAGGACGGGGGATGGAGTTTAACCGCTCGCGAGCATCGTCTTCGGGGTCCCGGTCAATGATGGAGGAGATGGACTGCTTCGTGGAGGTGTTGGGGGTGGGGTTGGGTGCCTTATTTCGTTCCTCTTCGGCCGACAAAGACGCGGCGGGGATGGCCAATGGCCGGTCTGAAGATTCTGTCTTCACGCGACAAGGCTTCTCTGGGGTTTCCTCCTCATCTGAGGCCGAAGAATATTCCACCTCTTGTTGGTAGCCCTCCAGATCGGTGGGGGCCGACTCTAGACGACTTTCTTCAGTCGATGCACGATTGACTGTGGACATCGGGGGCAGAGGCGCGTTCGGATCGTACACGATCCCGCAGACCTCGAGGGCCCGGGACTGACTCCCCAAACTGCGGTCTTTGTGCTTCTTGGTCAGATGGCACATGAACCCGTGGAGAGTTACGAAATCCGACTTGCCACAGCCGGACACCGGGCACGTCAGATACACCAAACTCCCGTCCGATGGTCGCTTCCACAGGGCTCGACCGGAAGGATCATGCGCCGCTGGCCGTCCATGGCGTTCCCCCCACGCTTCCACGTTCTTAATGGTATATTTCTGTTTCCGTCGGATCGAAGTAGCGCCCGTCGGGTCGTGAGGAATGTGCTGCGGCGGCGGATGAGGTGGGGGTGCTTGAACTGGCGGTGGAGGAATTGGCCGAGGTTCTGGGGGACTTTGCTGCTTGAAGAATGCAAGGGTGGTGGCCGCATTGGTCTCCGAGAGACGACGTGGCGGCGTTGGGCGAAGAGGCGGAGAATCCATGCCGGCATTAAATCCCAGTCCCATCGACTCCCGCTTCAGGCGTTTCCGTTGCCTACGTAGGTCCTGAAAAGCGCGAAACAAAATCATCCCCAGGTTAGACAACTCTATACAAACTGAAAAATATCATCCTATATCATACCTCTTCTTCGGCTTCGGCATTTTCGGTCATCCTACGATAATCTTCGTCCTCTCGCTTTCGAACGGCAAGTAGATGGCTACGAGCTGCCATACGCGATGCTTCTTCGTGCTCCAATTGCCTTAGGCGGGCCTCAATGTGGTCTACCGGGTTATGCGGCGGCGGCGGTGCCGGGGGACCGGGCTCTTGCATAGGTGGAGGTTGGAAGGATCGGAAGTGATGGTGATTTTGCATGATATGTTCATGATGGGCGATCTGAGTCGGGTTCATGGCGATTGGATGGAAACGTGGCAGGCTCATATTCACATGGTGTCCATGCGGGACTCCGTTGAGCCCATTTTCATGGACTGGAGCCACAGGAGGCGCGGCAACTGTCATGACGACCCTGTTTGGAGGCAATTCGAAAATTAGTGAGCTGAAGATGTACTTCTAGTTTTCTTCGGGGGCATGTACATGCAGACGGTTGTCGGGAATGAAGCGCGGAGAAAGGGAGATTAAGAACAGAGGCGAAGTAAGGGTAGGAGGATAGAATGTGAAGATTATGTCAAGGAGAAAGCAAAAATTTTGAAACAAAAAAGCAAAGAGTAAAAAAAAAAAAAAAAAAAGAAAAGAAAAGAAAAAAAAGCAAAAATGGGCAAAACCAGGAGAGCTAGTCAGGAAGCCGAGGGAAACAGGAAATTAAACGGAACCAAAGAGTATTAGAATGAAGGGCGAGTGAGCACAGGGAGCGATTATAAGAGGAACGGCGAGAGGAAGATAAGCAGTACGGAGAGAAGCATGGACGAATAGATCGGAATCTGGGATGAAGGCAAGGCAGGAATCAAGACTTACTCTGCAGGATCGTAGAAAGCAAATGAAGAAGAGTAGAAAGTACTACAAGACAAGAAAAAGGAAGCAGAAAAACAAACCGCTAGCGCGCTGCACCCTGCCCGTTGTTGCCCTCAAGAAAGTAACTGGGAAATTTCCCGCGGACCGCCCAGAGCTGATTTGTTGCGATGCAAGTGGTTCAACGGCCACGCAAGGGATTTAATGGATTGGAAAATCATCCAAATGAATTCTAAAGACGAGGAGGGAGGGGGAATGAGAGGGGGGAAAGAAGGTTAATCGCGAATAGAATGGAATTGGAGCCAAAACCCGCTAGTTTTTGTCTTTTTTTGAGAAAAAATAAGACAGAATAAAAAAAGGGCAAGAAAAAAGGAAAAAAAAAAAAAAGAGTACTTCGGGAAGGCAGACTAAGAGAAATGAGCAAAAGACACGAAAGACTAAAATAAATAAAACCAGATCGATTGGGACAGCTCCAAGGGACTAACTCAACTAGCCAGGAAGCTAGCGTCTTGCGGTCAGTGGGCAACAAACATCCCGGTTTTGGTGAGCAGATGTAGTAATAATTGTCAATAATCGCCTGGTCGTACAAAGACCGATTCTCCTACATATCGGGGTGGGACACCTTTTTGTCTCTCTTTTCATTCCGTCAGTTCCCTCAAAACGAACCATAATTATGGATCAATCTTCATAAATCCGTCTAGCTGCCTTAATTTTCAAATACGGGGCACTGACTCTTTACCCATCACTGTATTAATAAACGCATTAAAGAAATAAAAATAAAAATATTCCATGTCGGCACCACACACCAGTGCACATTACTACTGTGTTCATCCGTCATCCAGTCCTATTACTTGCTACTTTACGCACGGTGCTTGATCCAGCTCCCCCCCAATCATCCAATGCGTTGTGGTAGTCTAGACGCTCTCCGAATAGAAATCCACTACTGTCACACTAGTGACAAACATAATCAATTCATCGATCTATAATTTGTGATTTATCAGCATCCCTTGTGCCTCTGCCCGTGAAGGAGGGGAAGGGCAGAAAGTCAAATGGCAGGGAGCCAGCACTGTGCGTCGAACTGTCAAGTAGATCTGGTGGTGAAGTGCACACAGTAGTTGACAGTACACACAATGGCAGTTTGGTTCATCCCCATATCTGGACTGCATGCGAGCTGCCTCTCTCCCCTTCCACAGGCAAGGGTGGAGAGAGCCAAGGAGGGAGAGACACAAAAAAAAAAAAAAAGAAAAAAAAAAATTAGCGGCACGATTTCTCGAGTTCTCGTTCAGACTCAGATTCTTGAATACTCATTACTCACTTACTCAGTCATCTTTCTGAACTCGTTACTTTATTTTTAGCGACCGGGGACCAATGAGATCCGGATGATCTACTACTTGTATGTAACGCAATTAAATGAAAAGGAATGTGGAAGATCATAGAAGATCGGTAGTGTTGTGGAAGTGACGCAGAAAGTGGATTAGAGTAGGAGACCCGAGGTACGTACCCCGTAGAATTAATCGATCGTCCATTCTTCCTCATTCCTGGGAGTTTTTGATAGAGAGGCCACGAAGAAGGGAGGGGAAGGGACAACGCAGTCTGAGATGACACATAGGGATTGAAGAATGAAGAGGGACGTCCACTCCTCGCCTACCAGGGAGACAGAACCCGAGAGTCGAGCAGGAGCTGAGGACTCGAGGAGTGTGTGTGTGAAGGACCGACGATACAGAAAAAGAGGAACCGAGTGGAGACGAGCCAAAAGGCGCGATGATCATTCCTGGAACAGGTACATTAACCAAGCGGCGATCGACGAATGATGGAAGGCGACGTTTTGCAGGCGGGCAAAACACGAACTAAAGGAAGCGACTCCCACTGGCTCGCGCAAATTGGGCGGGACAAGTCGATGGGGCTTGAGATTAATCAAACAGGAATATTTGCCAATTGGTCTCTGGTTTTTTTATCCTGCTGTCCCGTCTCTCTGCCACCCCCCTTGAAGTTTATTCTTGTTTTTCTTTGGTTTTTTGGGTCGGACGGTTGATGCATCCATGGGTCTCTCCACGATGAATCTGGAGTGCAACCAGGTCTGACGAAATCGTCGTTTCCGACGTCCACGGTGTCGAGGTTTCCTCTCTGGCTCTTGAGTCTTGACTCTACCCACCCTCCCTCGAGCAATGCATTGACTGCATTTGTGTGCACAGTTGATTTGTTTTGGCTGCTGCACACGCTGCTGCAAGTCCCCCGGTGGAGCCCCCCCGTTGCATGTGTGCTGCCGATAAGAAAGCAGCCAATTGTTGGGGATTGGCCTTTTCTTGTTCGACTTTGACTGGTTATGTTCTGCCTTGGATCATGTCATCGCCGAGGTCGAATGCTTTATCAATGTCTATTGTGTTGTGAACTGTTGAGGGTGTAGACTGTAGTGTACACCGTAGGGTGTACGGAGTAGTGTCAATCATGTGTGTGTGTACTGATGGCAATGGACCGGGGAAACGGCCGTTCTGTCCGTCTGGAACACAATAATAATCCTAATAAAACAGAATACCAAAAAAAGAATGACAACCCCGGCTCTTGACGGACATTCTGATGATAACCATTAACCATTAACCATAATCATTATGATTATCCTCCGTAGTTTCCGGCGATAGTTTATTCCTGCGATTGTCATGACTATTAGAAACCAAGTACCCCATACTAGAACCACGCCGTACCGTGTGTAGGCCCCTGCTTTCCTTTCCTCAACCACCGTCCGAACTATTCAACTCGACTGGATCGATAAGTCCAAAAAGTATTGTCAATCCTGCATATCATGCTCCACCAACTGTGCATCTCGCCCACCCACCCCTTCCCTCCTTCCCCCTCGTCCAGGATTCGTCCTGCCTTCGACATGCGAAGTTTGTCAACCCCCCTTTTTATCTAGTTAGCATTCCAATAGGAAAAATTCTTTTTCGCCAACAGAAGGATATAAGACCTGCAGAATGGAGTGTGTACGATTCTCATTTTCCCAGATAAGTCAATATGTATGGGCATGGATAACTACGAACACAGGGATGACTACGTACTACTACTGTACGTAGTGCAAGTCACGTTGTAATTCTCAAATGGAGGTTTCGAGTCCAAGAAAAAACCCGGATTCTGCGGGCGGATTTATTCTATTGCTCTCGAGCATGAACAGATTAGTGATTAGAAGCAGCGATGACATCGTTACCCTCCCCGCCCTGCAAATAACGAGAACCAACAGGAACATTTTTCAATCTATCTCTCAAAGACTGTCTGTCCATGCAAGGAAGTCGATCACTATTGAGACAGCCAGGAAGTAACCACCGTATGAATAGTTAGCGGTTCATAATAATTAGCTATCCCCAAGCTAACAGTTGACTACGTACGGAGTATAGTTGGCGTTAGAACGAGAACAACAAAAGAGATAATTAATAGTAAGGTAGCTTACTGAATAGTGACAGCCAAAAATCGTAATACTAATTTGAAATAAAGAAACCCAAAAAAAAAAAAAAATTCAAATAGAAACACCAACAAATAATAATCCATCCCGGCTCCTCTTTTTGTCTGACTATTACTTGTCCTAAGAAGTTCTGCCCCTCTCCCCTTGCCCACAACAACGCCTCCACAGTGTCAAGTCAAGTCAGGTCAAAATCAGTCTGGGTACCTAACTAACTAGAACCAGAACTAACGGCAAAAAGTAGAAATCGACTGAGGTCTCGACTTGAAAAAGTATTAACCCGAGAGATTCCTGAGGGAAGTGGATGCTACTCCGTAGTCAGAATCAAATTAAAATGATGACTATATTACCCCATCCGGCTAGGTTTGGTCTGGAAGCATAAACGACACAATCCTCAGTCCCAGGGCCAAGGGTCATCTCTTTTTTTTCTCTTTGCTTTTTTCTTTTCTTTTCTTTTTGGAGGGTAAAAAAAAGTACGGAATAAGCGCCCAGCCTGGATGGGAGAATAATCACTCTCGATTTGAACCTCCGTTCTCAAAAGTCGCAGCAAGAATAGTTAAGAAAAGTAGCGAAAAAAAAAGCGAGAAAAAATAGGAACGAAAGAAAATCCACAACCCACATGGACAGATGGCCGATGGACCATCATCTTCTGGATGGGCGGTTTTTTTTTTTTTTTTTTTCATCCTTAGGGGGCTCTCCATAAGCTAGGCGATTGATCTGATTCGCCCCGGTAGGTTGATTAAAAGGCCTTGAATTTAATTAAATTGAGTCCATCCTGTGATCATCCGTAGACTAGTAGGGATGGTGAATGAACAGCTGGCAGAGCAGAGGACAACGCGGAAGCAAGTGTGTCTGTGTGTTCTGTCTGTGTCTGTGTTTGTCCTAGTCTAACTACTGGTTCTACTGGTTCTACTGTGTATACAGTATGTCCCAGGGAATAATAACCTTTGTTAATGACCTCAAACTGCTGATGAGAGTGTCAACAACGCCACGGTCTCTGGCCCGAAATCGTTGAAGTAACCCTCCTGGGCGCGCCAACTAGCTCGAATCCAACTGGTTTAGCTAGTTAGCTGGCTCAGGATAAAAGGGTGTCCTCCCGACTCAAAAC